AAAATTCTACGAAAAAATGCGGCGGCTTATAGAAGGTTTCAAGACCGGAGCATAATCTTGTAGAACCCCCAAAGGTGATCTAGTCACCGATGCCCAGAGCATACCTAAATTATGGAGGGAACACTTCTCCGGCCTGCTGAATGGCAGTAAACGCTCAACGCCAGGAGAAGGCGAACCCGATGCCCCAATCGACGACGATGGAGCATACGTCTCATTGCCCGACCAAGAAGAAGTTCGAATAGCAATTACCCGCCTGAAGAACAACAAAGCTGCGGGGCCGATGGRCTGCCGGCCGAGCTATTCAAACACGGCTGCGAAGAACTGATAAGGAGCATGCGTCAGCTTCTTTGTAAAATATGGTCGGACGAAAGCATGCCCAACGATTAGAATTTAAGTGTGCTATGCCCAAACCTSAAAAAAGGAGACCCCACCAGCTGCGCCCACTACCGTAGGATAAGCGTCCTCAATATCGCATATAAGGTTCTATCGAGCGTATTGTGTGAAAGATCAAAGCCCACCATCAACAAACTGATCGGACCTTATCAGTGTGGCTTCAGACCTGGAAAATCAACAACCGACCAGTTATTCACCATGCGCCAAATCTTGGAAAAAACCGTGAAAGGAGGATCGACACTCACCACCTCTTCGTCGATTTCGACAGCACGAAAAGGAGCTGCCTTTACGCCGAGATGTCTGAATTTGGTATCCCTGCGTCTCAYGTCACTGTTGACAGTCATAGCTTTGAAGTTGTAGATAATTTCGTCCATTTTGGAACCAGCGTAAACACCACCAACAATGTCAGCCTAGAAATCCAACGCAGGATAACTCTTGCCAACAGGTGCTACTTCGGACTGAGTAGGCAATTNAATGTCAGCCTAGAAATCCAACGCAGGATAACTCTTGCCAACAGGTGCTACTTCGGACTGAGTAGGCAATTGAGAAGCAAAGTCCTCTCTCCACAAACAAAAACCAAACTCTATAAGTCACTCATAATTCCCGTCCTGCTATATGGTGCAGAGGCTTGGACGATGTCAACAACAGATGAGTCGACGTTGCGAGTTTTCGAGAGAAAAGTTCTGCGAAAGATTTAGGGTCCTTTTCGCATTGGCCACGTCGAATATCGCATTCGATGGAACGCTGAGCTGTACGAGATATACGACGACATTGACATAGTTMAGCGAATTAAAAGACAGCGGCTACGCTGGCTAGGTCATGTTGCCCGGATTAAACGCTGTACCCGCTGGGGGAAGCAGAGGAAGAAATCCACTCCATTGGAAGGACCAGGTGGAGAAAGACCTGGGTACGCTTGGAATATCCAATTGGCGCCACGTAGCGAAAAGAAGAAACGACTCGCGCTGTTGTTAACTCGGCTATAATCGCGTAAGCGGTGTCTTCGCCAATTAAGAAGATGATGAATAAAATATATATCCTCATATAGTTAGTATAACTATTTAGAAGTAAATTTAAAAAGAAGAAGTAATGATGGGCTAAGTGTGGATGTAATCGACCATTTTAGACTCTCTCAAAGATCAAAGGCGGTTAAATATGTATGTACTTTCAGGTGTAGCAAAAGTTTATATTTAAAACCATTAGGACAGAATTCAACTTTCATGGTTCAACGAAATCGTGAATGCATTACATTTATTATAACTTTTAGACTCACTTAGTTTCATTAGTACATTTTACATGTTCTAAATATTAATATATTTAAATGAGATATACGAGATGTGGAATGAACTCAATTTAAACGATAACACTTTTTATATGGGGTGTACTATAGGATGAAGACGTTAACAAAAGGGTGAGAAATTCCAATTTCGTTCTGTATAAATGAAAATCATTATATGTTGTATATGTAAGTTGGGGTAGCACCATAAAAGAAACCGGCTTTATATACTATCATTTAATGCCGAAAATATGTCAACCATAAGTTCGAAAGTATTCTATATGTGGAGCCTAAGGTTCATCGTAAATATATTATTATTTGCGAATTCCAATACTAAAACGCATATACTGACCAATTTAATCAATTAATATCAGCCAAATATTCTAGAACCCACATGTTTGATACCTAGGCCCATGAAAAGATATAGTTCGACTTCGATGATTTTTATGATATAAWGAAATATCTCAGGACCATTATTTGTGCAAAGTTTTTTTTTGATAAATTAATTGTGGTTTGATTTGTTAAGTGTAAAGTGAAAGGATCAGATGGAATTTAAATATTTATTATTCTTGAAGTTGGCGCGGTTTTAGTCGATTTCGTTCATTTTAACACCGTATGATAAGAATATTTGAGTAATCTAACACACCAAATTTGGTTGAAATTGATCAAGTAGTTCTTTAGATATAGGATTTTGGGCTAGAAATTGGCGGTGCTACCTGCTCGATTCGTTTTAGATGGTAAAAATAACCGTTGAATGATATATACAAGTTATGAAATACCTGTTGTGCTAAGTTAACGAAATCCTGAAATCTGGCTGCACGATAGTGTAACAAGACTTGAAATAAAGATTTTTCTCGCCATTTTTTAGCATACACTCGTATAAATACCGCTGTTTCTTCATTCAATTGGCCCGTTTTTTCATTGACTAAGGGCTGAAGACGTTGTCTTTCATGATATCCACGAAAAGCTGTAAGTATAGATAATATATATATGTATCTATGTTATTTCTTATAAAAGACAGATGGATATATACTTAATATGTATATTGTTTTATCCTTAAGTTTAATAATAATTGTCACAAACTCAGTACACGTTTTGAATTTCTACATATTTGTAGCAAATCCCAAGGTGTAATTTATCTCCTCCATGGTTCTTGTTCTTTCTTAATTTTGGTTGTACACGTTCATTATTAAGATTTTTTGAAATATCTCAACACAGTGAAATAGTGATAAATTCATCTCTTAAAAAAATTGCTTAGCTGAAAACGTGGTACATGCACAGCACATACCTTGAGCATATTCTTTCAATGTGTGTTTTTTTTTTTTGGCGCTGACATGAGTATTTTGATTATTTTACATTTATATACATACATACAAACAAATGCAGATAATTTTTAAATTTATTTTTATGTGTATGTTGCTTGTAAATGAACATATTGCAATAKCGAGAGCAGCTTGAAGGTTTGTAAACTGAAGAACAGTGACAAATTGCTAGAGTGTTGATATTTTAATAAGTATCTTGTGATCATTTCTAGACACATTGTATTTTATTTTTTATTGTGTTTCTAAACGTCTTCCGTTTGAGTGGCTTGCTCCACTTCAGCTAAACGTGCAGCAGAAAGTGCTTCCTCTTTGCGCGCAGACTCAAAGAGATCCTCAGCTTCAGATGGCGTTTCACTGGCATCAAAGTATTCAACATCAAAACCTTTTTCGGCGTATTCCCTATTACCTTTTTGTATTTTAGTGGCTGCCTCATCATTGCGAGTGACTCCTTTTGCTGAAAAATATTAGAAATAAACTGGGTTAAGGAAATAACTAACTAAGAGCTATAACCGAACTTTTGATAAATGTTTTAATGATAATATTTTAGCAAACTGCAACCATCAAAAATTTTTTTAGTATGAAGGATGGAGATGTATAGAATATACATATTTCAATTGTCGTATTCTTATGTAACTAATTTTTTGTAAATCAGTAGCCAACGAGGAGTAAACAATAAATAATAACACGCCGATTCAGGATAAAATGATAAAAAAGTCTTGCGGTATTTTGACTCTTGACCGATGCTTCTTCTGGTACTATGCCGGTCTCTTTCGACCAATTCAGCGATTTTATCTCAATTTTCGACGACAGGCCTTCCGGAGCGTGTCGCATCTTCGACCACCTCTACACCAGAACGAAAACGTTGAAACCATCGTTGTGCGTTGGAAATGAAAACTGTATCGGGTCCATAAACTCCACAAATTTTATTGGCGGCTTGAGATGCATTTTTGCCTTTATCGTAGTAGTACTGTAAAATATTCCGTATTTTCTCTTGATTGTGCTCCATGTTTGCGACGCTATATCTTRCGAAAGACTTAAAAGAAACGACAATCAATCAAACACGTGTTAGTGCGTGAAATGAGCTTTCCAAAAAGGTATAGCATAACCCGATGCGGCGAATAAAACTAGAATTACTACTGCAAGACTTTTTTRACAACCTAATTTTTGAGGTTCACAATACTTTTAGTGAAGGTCTCGATCATAGAAAACTTGCAATTTGGGAGTCGTGTATTTACCTCTATTAATGACAACAACATCGAAAAAATTAAAGAAACATTGCTKGAAAATCGTCCCATTTTAGACTATTAACAAAATATCTCAGTCTCTTGCAAAAATTATGTCTAGTAGAAATCCTAAAAAACATAATTGATAACGTAGCTGAGGTCCTCATATTCATTAAACGCATCTTCAGTGGCGAMGGGACGTGGGTTTATGATCAAGTCGTCGAAACCTTCCGACAATAAAGGGAATGATAGTTCAAAAATGAACAGAAACTGGAAAATCATCAGTATAATAGAGTTATTTACCATGAACTCATTCCACGGACATCTACTTGAAACAAGTTGTTCTCAATTTTGCGTTTTCAAGTAATTTAAATCTAATTATATAGGTACTAGAGTTATAAAATTAAAYGAATACAATATTTTGTTGGGTCTATGTATTAACAAGTTCGAAAAGGAAAATATTGGCTTTTATATGGGTTTTTATATCACTCAAAGCATTTGACGAATTACTAAAAACTAAAGTAAAAACGAAAGCACTCCAGCTCGGAAAGTATTCGACGCAGTACTCGCCGGGGGAAGCAGAGGAAGAGGAAGACCTCCACTCCCTTGGAAGGACCAGGTGGAGAAGAACCTGGCTACGCTTGGAATATCCAATTGGCGCCACGTAGCGAAAAGAAGAAACGACTGGCGCGCGGTTGTTAACTCGGCTATAATCGAGTAAGCGGTGACTACGCCAATCAAGAAGAAGAAGAAAGTAAGGAGAACCAACTTAATATTGCTACAAAATACAAGATCTGGTACTGGAGTTAAAATGTGTGAAACTCTATAATAACACCATATAAAGGGTTGTGTTGAACTATTTCATTTCAACTACTAAAATTGCTACAACTTTTTAAACCAAAACCCCAGAAGTAATAAGATTTTCCTAAAAATTTTACACCAGGTTTAATACGGCACATATGGCAATTATGGTTAATTATTATAATCGATTCACAATTTCGTGCAAGAAAGACTGTTGGAAACTTTCTTATACCATGCATTTTTACGAATTTTATAAAAAGTTCGGCTGAAGCCTAAATTAGCGCTCCCTTATTTATTTATTATTACCTTTTTTGGGATCCTTGCCTCCTTTCATTCGCTTTCGTGCTAGCAATGCTCTCATCATAGACTGAACTTTAATCACTTTTTTCACTTGGACTTCGTATAATCTATGAAAACAAACAAACATAATATACAGCAAGATAAAAGTCCTTATATGTATATTAAATTTCAATTAAAGTTTGATACCTTGCCAAAAATTCATCATTATAATATCGTAAGAATACTTTAGTTTTTCCAATTGTCCAGCCTTCCATTTTTAAACGAATCATTAACAGACGACAATTTTCTTTGGTAATATCCACAGTTTCATCAAAATCAAATGCTAAAAATTGATAACTGCAGGAGAAAATTGAATGAGAATCTATTCGTATTCCTTTATGATATGAATATGTAATGTTATCTAAAATACTTCTAAATATCGCTTGATAATATTGATATTTTATACCGTATGTAATTAATAAAATATCAAACTTTTCACTAACTACAAAAAAGAAGATACTAGGTATTGCGATTTGGTGTTTACGATTTGGAGTTCTAGGGTCTTGTTACTGAAATGTCGAAAAAATATAATTTTTTAACCGTGAGTTTAACGTTTCCGCAAACCTTGTTATTGACCCTGTTAACTATTGTGTATTTATTATTATAGTTCCAACTAATGTTCTATTTTCAATATTGCTTAATTGAAACGAACTGTACAAACCGTCTAAGAAATTCTTGAAAAGTGATCCGACATGAGTAGCCTCGTTGTCTGCCAACCACTGTATCCAATACCCCAAGAGCCTTCATTTGTTGTTGCACCATATCACTATGAAACGCTCGCGGCTTATATTCTAAGTCTGCTCTTATGCACCGAACGAAGTGTACACCCAAATTACTACTAAGTGTCAAAGTTTTGAGGAGAGCTAAACAAGTGAAGCGAAAGTTTGCGGCCAAAGTTCGGAGGTTATTCACTTGCGAAATACAACCAGCTGAYAAAGTATTTAGTGGCTGCGAAAAATATTTTGTAATATTTAATAATATATAATACAGGCATAAACTGAAAGCTAGTAATAATTGCGACAATAATACATACATAAGATTTTCTCTGAGAATCTTCTGGTTTATGTTGCACACTTTCAAATGGCATAGTCAAGTTTCCTGCTTTAGTTAGTTGATTTGTAAACATTAACATTATATTTTCATCCATTGACGATCGAAAAGATTCGATCATTTCTGGAGGCACAAAGTCACGATTGATATCTGTGAAGGCCCGAGTATCATATATTATTCGCCCGGTGTAGTGTGCGACTGATATTTCGGTAGCTGTGTGCTTTTTAACGAATTGGCTATGCTTTTCCACAACACGGTCTACAACATATATTTAGATTAAAAGACATAAATGCATATGCGTGTAATATTTCTAACTCACCCATAATAAGATCTTGATCTTGACTGGTTCGAGACGCATCATCTATTATGTAAAATAGTCCATCTGGTTTTGTCAATAAATTATCAAGAGCCGTCTTATTATCGTAGAAATTCAAATTGTCAGTGGGTATATCATCTGCTTCCTAAATATACGAAATTAAATTAAACGCATGACACATGAAGTTTTTAAATAATTGTTTTAATAAAAACAGGATAAGCCGGTTTTGTTGTAGCAAACCSAATACTTTCGAGTTATAATAAAAGGGGCATTCCAAAGTAAACAGGACTTCAAAAAAACAAAAACAAATGGTCCTTTCGGCAACATCAGTATAATTTATTCAAAATAGTCTTCTCCTGCTTCAATGCAGCTTTTTGCACGGTCCGCCATTGTGACGGTCTTTTGAATAGCCTCTACGCGTGCATAACACTTTCCTTTCATGGCCAAATGCATTCTTCCGAAAAGGAAGAAGTCGCACGGTGCCATATCAAGTGAATACGGGGAGTGGTTAATGGTTAAAATGTGATTTTTGGTCAAATAATCGTCCTTCGAATGTTGGATTCTGCGCAATTTGTGGTAAGCCGAAATGTTTGATCAAAATGCGATAAATCGATGTTTTGGAGATGTGCAATTCCATTTCCATGAATTTCAATGATTATTTCGGCTGATTTTTGATAAATTCACGCACAGTTTCGATGGATTTCAGGTGATCACGGATTATGATTGGCCCACATATTGAACGTCATTTATGTTCTCACGACCACTTTGAAAACGTTAAAACCACTCGTGCACTCTGCTACGGGATAGGCAATCATCGCCATAAAATTGTTTCATCAAATGAAACGTTTCGGTAAAAGTTGTTTTAAAACAAAATTTAATGTTGGYTCTTTGTTCGAAGCTCATTTTCGCACCAATAACACAAACTTAAAACGCAATAACTTCTCTTCCAATCAATGAAATGTCACGAAAATGGACAATCTATAGAGATAGCAGATTCTAATGCACCAGTCGACATATAGATGGCGCCGCCAGGGAGAGCTAGATTGAAAAGTCCTTTGGAACACTTCTTGTATGTATGTGTAATTATCAAGAGCCGTCGTATTGCCATAGAAGCTCGAATTGACTGTGAGTGTTCCAAAAATGAGCATGAGCATTGCTGCCAAGGGGTATCATTTAATACTTATTATAAACATATAATATACAGTCCACTATTATTAAATATCTATTTTCAAATATACTGAACATAAAAATATATGAATTTGTGTGCAGCACACATACATAATATGCAATACGCATGTACTCAAATTTACAACAATACAAATATATTAGGGGGATCCTCTTGATCTTGCAAGATTGCATATTGCAAAATCCTATACCGAAATATACAAGAGCACCCATTGCAGAATCTAGTGATATATGAACGACTGATTCCGTTAATTTAATGTGCGTCAAAATATGTATTTAAGAAAAATGACAGCTGGCACAGGGTTGTAAATATTTTTTTACGTGTCACTGCAAGAGAATAAACATTTGTTTTGGTCTGACATATTTTGAAGTCCTTGCAAATGTTTCTGGGGKTTTTTTTTTTGAAGTGGAAAAATCTGCAACTCTCGAAAAATCTTGCAATTGTGCACCGTGCAAGAGCAAGAGAGTCCCCCTACTTACTTAGGTTAAGATGTGTACATACGACAACGTATTGATAACATATACATACATTTAGGCAACCACACAGCCTAAACAATGCGATAACACACGCACACACATGTATTGTATTTTACAGTTAAAAACAACCTCATGTGGTGTGAAGTCCAGATATATTTAATTAAATAAGTAAGGCTTCAAAAATAGTATATAATGCTTACAAATATCCAAATAAAATTAGAATAAAAGATTTCTCACTCTGCAAAAGACTGGTTCAATTCCCCCCACCAGTGGTAAGGTTGACAAAATCTTTATTGGGTTTAAACAGTGAGTATATCATCTGCTTCCTAAATATACGACATTAAATTAATCCTAGGACACATGAAGCTTTTAAATAATTGTTTTAATTAAATCACGATAAGCCGGTTGTAACAAATAGAATACGTTTGAAATTAATAGGTGTTGTGTCAAGTGACTTATGTCCACAGCTAAAACGAAAGACATTTTAATTAAGTTAAATTTAAGCTTTTCTTTTTAATATTATATTTGAACAGCGCGCCAGCCGTTTCTTCTTTTCGCTACGTGGCGCCAATTAGATATTCCAAGTGAAGCCAGGTCCTTCTCCACTTGGTCCTTCCAACGGAGTGGAGGTCTTCCTCTTCCTCTGCTTCCCCCGGCGGGTACTGCRTCGAATACTTTCAGAGCTGGAGTGTTTTCGTCCATCCGGMCAACATGACCTAGCCGGCGTAGCCGCTGTCTTTTAATTCGCTGAACTATGTCAATGTCGTCGTATATCTCGTACAGCTCATCGTTCCATCGAATGCGATATTCGCCGTGGCCAACGCCCAAAGGAATATAAATATTTCGCAGAACTTTTCTCTCGAAAACTCGTAACGTCGCCTCATCTGTTGTTAACATCGTCCAAGCCTCTGCACCATATAGCAGGACGGGAATTATGAGTGACTTATAGAGTCTGGTTTTTGTTTGTCGAGAGAGGACTTTGCTTCTCAATTGCCTATTCAGTCCGAAGTAGCACCTGTTGGCAAGAGTTATCCTGCATTGGATTTCTAGGCTGACATTGTTGGTGGTGTTTACGCTGGTTCCAAGATAGACGCAATTATCTACAACTTCAAAGCTATGACTGTCAACAGTGACGTTAGTGCCAAGTCGCGAGTGCGACGACTGTTTGTTTGATGACAGGAGATATTTCGTTTTGCCCTCGTTCACTGCCAGACCCATTTGTGTTGCTTCCTTGTCCAGTCTGGAGAAAGCAGAACTAACGGCGCGGGTGGTGAGGCCAATGATATCAATATCATCGGCATACGCCAGCTGTACACTCTTATAGAAGATGGTACCTTCTCTATTTAGTTCTGCAGCTCGAACTATTTTCTCCAGAAGCAGGTTGAAAAAGTCGCACGATAAGGAATCGCCYTGTCTGAAACCTCGTTTGGTATCGAACGGCTCGGAGAGGTCCTTCCTGATTCTGACGGAGCTTTTGGTGTTGCTCAACGTCAGCTTACACAGCCGTATAAGTTTTGCAAGGATACCAAATTCAGACATCTCGGCGTAAAGGCAGCTCCTTTTCGTGCTGTCGAAATCGACGAAGAGGTGGKKAGTGTCGATCCTCCTTTCACGGGTCTTTTCCAAGATTTGGCGCATGGTGAATATCTGGTCGGTTGTTGACTTTCCAGGTTGAGTGCTCTCAGAGAGCAGGAGTGCAAGCCGAGTAGAAAATCGTTCGGCTGTCTGCTGTGATTGCAGCTTCTCGACGTCGAACCTTCCTTGCGTCTGATGGCGTGCGTTTTTGCTACACAGAGGCGCGTGCGAATCTTCGCTGGAACAAGATAGTGATCCGAGTAGATATTAGGACCTCGCAGTGCACGCTCATCTAAAACAATAGAGACGTGTCTTCCGTCTATCACAACATGATCGATCTGGTTGGTGGTTTTTCGATCCGGAGACAGCCAGGTAGCTTGATGAATCTTCTTATGCTGGAATCTAGTACTATCAGTCTCAACCCATTTGGGGATGTTTCCTCGTGGAGGCTGAATTTCCCGACCGTAGTGCCAAAGATACCTTCTTTGCCCACCCTGGCGTTAAAGTCGCCAAGCACGACATTCCCGGTGCATGCCCTCAATTCGTAATCCTTATTTCGTTTGCAATGGCCGTCATCAAAAGTGGGGTCTCTCATCCGAGGCTGTTGTTGCGTTGTCATTGGGGTGGTTTTTTTACGTGGCGGGTCCCAAACCCAGCGCACAACCCTATGCAGGGAATGTTTCGCCTTCTCACTTTAGCTCACCTTCAAACGGATGTTGGTCAAAGACCGGAAGTCGTGAGCTGATTGAGTCATATGTAAAAGAATCGTTTCTGGCCACTCCCAAGAGAATGGCGATCAGAAAACTTTTCTCACTTGCGTGAACTTTCACACATGACTCCATYCTACATACTTACCTTAATCTATTACTATAAGTTAACAAAATGAATTACTCACCTCTTTTTTGTACATACCCTTTATACTTCCATTCCAACTGTTTTATCCCGTTAGTTTTGAGATTTAGGCAATAGGTTTAGGTATAGAGAAGGTGCCGGTTCGACTGCGAACATTTGTTAGCTTCAGGGTAAGGAATTCGCCGCATTTGTTAACATTGTAGGTTGCAATTCGCCTCACAATTTTAACATATTTACAATTCTCTCACAACATTATGATGATATATTCATGATTCATGTTAGCTTTCAACCAGGCATTTCCTTTCATACGCAATGTACGAATATCAGGAATTTCGTTTTTCCGTCGGCATTTCAATTTCACATGTTTCAATTTTTGTTTTCAACCAAGAAATCGGTTGTATGTACATACACACATATGTGCAATGTATGCCTTTGCGTTCTGCTTTCAATAAAATTTTAAAAAATTAATTGCCCTCATAGTCTATTTTATGTTATCATGCATTTCAATATAGAAATTTGACCGGCGTATAAGCAAAATGCGCAACAATCATACATATATTATGTCGTTTGCACATTTGTCTGTATGTTTGCAAAAGCATATTTTTATACTTGAACAAAATTATTTGAACCATGGTATACTATATTTGTTACATGCATAACCAAACCATAACTAAGACAACTCAACTCAAGTTTCAATGGTGGTGTTGGTTATAAGCGCTTGGAAAGTCGCGATGAGAACGTAGGTTCGAAAATCAATAGAATTTATTTTTAATTTTTGCCTTTCAACATCGTATACTATACTAATTAATATTTTTCTTACTAAAAGAAATTAAGTTTATCACAGCAATATTATGTATATGTATTCTACAAACATCTTCTGTCCTATCTTGTGTATCTGCACATGCTCATATGAATGTATGTATGTATACGCATGTGCGTGTTCAGAAATTCAAATCATAATTTCATCACTTACATATCAATATATTATATTACATGTGCGCGCACTGATCTACATGTTCATATACATACATTCATTTATACTTAAATGTACATAGA